ACGCAGCCTTAGAAGTTCAGCGCTAGACTTGAGGGTCAAGTTCATCTTTGATATAATCCCATGGAGCTCCCAGAGTTTCACATGTGACAAACCTGCCTTTTATGTTTTTCTAAAGGGGTCACCAGGTATGTGACAGCCAAATAACATCACCTGCATACGTGAAGCTAAAATAGGTGTAAAAACATCTGAGGAAAGGATCTCACCATCTGAGATAAGAAAGCAAATTCCTTGTGACATCTGACAGAACACCATTCAAAGCTCTTTTTCAGCTCTTCAGCTCTTGAAACATGGGTTAGAATACCATTAGCTGATCCCCTCCAAGATAAATATGTATACATCTCAAATTTTATCTTTCTCTCTCTGTAGATCCACACACATATAAACAAAACTCAAGCATCTGAATTATCGCTACTTACTAGACAAGCCTGAGGCAGGAAGCTGTTCACCCTGGAGATACTCCACATGCCCTCGAGGTACTGCTGAGCCTGGATGGTGACCGAGCTCAGAGCACCGCTGAGACCGCTGGGGGCCACCGTGACTTGAACGCTGGAGTTCGGAAAACCGCCCGCGCCTTGAGACCATCCGAGTCCCTTCTTCCTCTCCGCCCCAGAGAAGAGATTTGGTGACTTTCCAGGCTGCCTGCCCACCTGCCCAGCAATGAGCGGCAGGTCTCTCTGGGAGGAGACCGTGACCATCCTGGGTACCATGCTGGTCACCGCCCCGGCGCTGGGCGGGAGGTCGGGCATCTCTGGGTAGCTGGCTTGACTAAGGGTGTGCATCATCTGAATGGCTTCCTGCTTCAGCTGATTCAAGTGAGTGGCACAAGTTTCGCATCTGCTCTCTCCTTCATTCCTGTTTTTCTGTAAATAGTCAGGCACTTGAAGCTTGTCAAAAATTAAAGCTGATAATCGTGGGTCCTAGAGAAGGGGGGAAAGGCAGAAAGCACATACTGAGTTAAAACAATGGAGAAAGATAAAAAGAAAGAAAAAGACAGAAGTTCTGTGTGATTTGCTCTACACCCACAGAAGTACTTTAAATCTGTTCTGGTAACTCTCAGCTTTCCCCGCCCCCACCCCAAATACCCTAAAAAGACTCTCAGGTCACAGCAGATTAATAAACCATAAGTGAATTCGTTTGTATGAGCCCCAGCATGAAAATTATCATCAGAATTAAACAGTGGAGCTGTGGTGTACTTGATAACTACTCATTCTTCTAATTAACTCTCCTTTGGAGACATCTAACACGCCTGTGTTTCCCATGCTCAGGAACAACGTTAGTCAAGATGCTGACCCTACAAATATCATAATGCGCTTCAAAGGCATACCACCACCTTAAACCCAGGAAAATTAGAGTATTTAAAAAAATTAGTGCGTGACCTGGTAAATGTTTTGTTGTCCTCACCCTCAGAAATGATTAATCGAGTGGCATAAAACCCAGTTTACATGGTGCTGCCCACAGCTGGCTCCTCCGCTAGCAAGCACCGTTATTTCTGATCTTTGCAACCCAGATGGTCGCAATATTCCCTTACGCTACAGTTGCTTTGATGAGAAATAGATTTGAGCCTACAGCCATGTGTGAAGGTGTAACACTGTGCACACTAAGAAGCTCATTTAAAAGCAACACCTATTTTGTTTCCACGGAGCAATTATTCCTCCCCTCCCCCTTGCTAGTTCATTTTATGGCTGCCCAGACATTTTAAAACCCAGCTCTGTGTTTCCAGTTCAGAGATAGAGTTACCTATCTCCTGAAACACACAAACGCCTTCCCATCCCAAGCCTGCTACTGGAAAGATCAGTCAAGAGATTAAATCCAGCCCTGTTGTAAACCTGCTATCAAGAGTAATGCCGTGCAGTAAAACTGACCCAACTTCACACACCCTCGTTGAGCTCTCTAAAACAATTAAGGTTTTAATGAAATCACAGCACGGCCAAAGGTTTATTTGTATAATTATTTTAAGTGAAAATATTTAATTTGCTTGTTAATAATGAGGGCACACAAAGCTAGGAAGTCAGACATCCAACATACACTGGGGGTATCCCCAGATCAGCGCTCATTTTTAAAAATGTATTGCTTTATGCCAAGCTGCAATTGCTCTCTAGGAAATGAATGTCCTATTAGAAAACTAACTAATTCTGGTTTTAATTACAACACACATCAGTAAAACTCTTTTAAGAAGTCTTGGCACTGGTACTTTGGC